TATCAATTTTTTTTTAATTCCCTCAAAAACGTCCATCTTGAAGGTTCTAAATTGCTAAAATCCAAGAGCTTACCCTTGCACCCCTGCACCCCTGCACCCTGCCAGGGGCCTTACGGCGGGCCCCTGGACCCCACCCATTAAGGGCTTTGCGCCAAGGCGCTCCCGGTGTGCGCTACTCGCGCACACTCTTCATATACATTGCGATGGAAGTAATGTTCAGCGAAATCATCCCTCCCCCCCCCCCCACAACTGAGGACCTGTCTACGCCACTGACGTAAGCGAACACATCATAGCGAAAGAGTTTGTTTTTGGTCGACAATAATTAAACGTGTACGTACATAGCGTCTGAGAACAATATATATATATATATATATATATAATTTATATATATAATATCAAGAGCTAATAATACAATGTAATGTAATGTAATATAATGTATTATTAGCTCTTGATTATATAGTTCTCAGCATTGGATAACACACTGGCCCACTGATTTTTGCCCACTTCTCGAGCGGATTAACACGCGCATAAGGGGAATCCAAAAGCGCGGCTTTCGTTATCATATATATCGTATATATATATGTAACATTTTGTTTTTGTTATAACAATAAACAACTTATTTTAGCTTTTACAATTCCAAATTTTACGCAAAATAAATACTACAAGCTGTTGCTTGGCACCGAACATCTATCATTTGCTATGGTAAAAGTTAAAACCATAGATATAGAAGAATCTTCTTCTATATCTATGGTAAAACATAATTTTGTATCGGATCTGAGCATGATGACTAATACCACCTAGGTGGCAGCACTGAAAAGGACTGAAAGCGGGATTGTGTACATTCTTTGCTTGAGCAGCGAGGAAATTCAAGTGTTCGTAATTTTTGAATATCGTTTGAGTAAGTTAATATTAGAAGTATCACGACATCCTTCTGATATTTGTATCATTAAACTCCGCTGATGAGAGTCGTACACGTAATCAATAATTCAGAAGTAGAAATTCATCTGGAACTTTGCGCTTGGCTTGTATTATGTATATAATATATTTCATAAATGTTTATTGTTTTCAGATGATGCCTTGTTCAGTTGACGTTGTTGCTTATAGTTATATTCTAACACCTAACAGAAGTCATGTTAGAAAGTTCTTCTGGTAGAAGCAGAATGCGCAGCGGCGAGATTGAGCAAAGTCAAAGAATTATGTCATCATCAAAAGGTGTAAATATACTCGACAATGATAGGTTTTTTGTTTATTATTAAACTTAAAGGGACAGTAGCCTCTAGGATTTTACTGCATACAACTGTACAAGTACTGTATAACAAATCGTCTATACCCACATGTATTTGTCACCAGATACTTAATTAATTATTTACACATCGACGCTACGAAATTTGAACGGCGCCATGACACCCGCGACCGTGCTGCCACCCTGAAAAAGTTGCGTATTTGCATTTTTATTTTGCAGGTAAATGGCCGAGGGCTAATCACAAAAGTGCAATTATATTTATACCTAAATCGTTCGGTTAAATAGCTTTGCCCTAAAATGAATATTTTATCCATATTATAATTGAAACTATATGTCGTTTATAAGATATTACAATCCTTTTGCTTTTAAATGAATAAATAAGAAATACCCTCGGTCTGTAGCCCTTGGCTGGAAAGTGGTTTTGCGCAACTTCTCAGATCGTGCGCTTTGAGTGTCGCCACCGTCGTTGTAATCAAACTGTAGTCATTAGTTTTAAAACATTTAAAATAAATATTTCTAATGGTGATTGAACCATGAAACTTTTTATGTAGCGCAATTATAACCTAAATTAGCTGAAAATAACCCTAGAACCTAGAGGCTACTGTTCCTTTAACGTAGTAATCATATATTATTATTATTATTTATTAATTAACTTTAATTAATGCAGGTATAAACTCTGCCACGTTTCTGCTGGGTTGCAGAAAACAGCATTCCAAGATGCATTGCTGTGGTTATGCTTGCAGGCTGTCTATGTTGTGGGGCAGATAAGCACATTGATTGTGCACTTCAGTAAATCTTCAGCACCTATTGTAGTACACGTGTGCAAAGTTTCACAATTCTAACCAAAAGTGCACAATGTGCCCATTTTTGTGTGCTTATCCGCTGCGCTAACGGGTTGAATTATAGCATAGACGTTGCGATTGCTGGCGAAGGGCTAGCAAACTCACAAGCGAGTAACAAATCCCGTTACCCAAAACTAAAGGAAGAAGAGTCGCCGAAGTGGCGGGTAAACTCCACATGAGCCAGAAGAACGCGAACGAGTGGCTCGGTGGCGGTTGCTATGGCGACGTGTAATCAGCAGACGCGTGTGTTTTGCCGTTGCTAGGTGGGTCCGACGGCGATTCAGGTGACGTCGCTAGAGAAGACGAAGGTGCTGGGTCACTCGCTGCTGCTCAACGATGTCTACTACGCCTCCGAGATAGAAGAGGTGAGCGAGGCGGGTCGTGGCGATGCGCGAGACGGAGACTCGAGACACGTCTCGGTTGTTCGTCCGCCAACCAGTAACCCCTGATCCTTGCTAATAAATGGCTGAGAATATCACTAATGAATTCACCCTGAATACACTAATATATGAATATACTGAATATACTAATGAATACACTCTAATGAGTTCACAGCATTAAATGTCGTATTAATTTAATTACTATCCTAAATAATAAATTAGCTAGGCTTGGTTATATTATAAAACTATATTTAGAAAAAGTAATTAAAAAAAGATGGCTTAAATATATTTGTTAATTAATTTAATTAAGTTAACGAGAACGTCTCGCTCGAATAAGCTGTAAAAGTCCTCTAGAACTATAAAATCCTACGTATCGGCTACGAGCAACGCTCGAGTCTCTTACCCGTCAACTAACCACCCCGCCCCGTCGCCCCGTCGCCACACCACACCGCACCGTCGCCACCACACCGTCGCCACACCGTCGCCACCACACCGTCGCCACACCGTCGCCCACCCGTCGCCCCGTCGCCCGTGACTACCTCCGGTGGCGACGTTTAACGCGGCGACGCCATCTTGCAGGTGTGCCTCGTCGACGACAACCAGTTCACGCTGACGATCTCGAACGAGAGCGGCCCGCTGTCGTTCATCCACAACGACTGTGACAGCATCGTGCAGGCGATCATACACATACGCACGCGCTGGGAGCTATCGCAGCCTGACACCGTCACCGTGCACACGAAGATACGGCCCAAGGACGTGCCTGGCACACTGCTCAACATGGTGGGTGAAGGTCGCAGGGTGAAGGTCGCGGGGTGAAGGTCGCTGGGTGAAGGTTGCGGGGTGAAGGTCATAGTTTAGGAAGTGATCCTGAGCCATGACACAGACACAGACACATGTACAGACATTTGCTTATAGTAGATGTGTGTGTATATATATATATATACATACATGATGTTATGGTGACATGCTATACTGAGTGACGAAGCTTGTCTCATCGGCGTTCTTGTGTTTAGGCGTTGTTGAACCTCGGCAGCTCGGATCCACAGCTGCGATCGGCCGCCTACAACCTACTGTGTGCGCTCACCGCGACCTTTGACCTGAAGATCGAAGGCCAGCTCTTGGAGACGTCGGGTAAACCTCAATTCTTCGCTCATGCGCGTCGTGAAATCTTTTTCCGTTATGCTGGCCTCCATTCACTGAGACAAGGTTTTGATTTCACAATTGTTCTGATGATCCTTACCCTTGCAGATACCTATGCTTACTTTTTTATACTAATCATTTTATACTATTACTACATTTTTTAAATTACAACACGTTTCAAGCAAATCAGCCACCTATTAATAAAGGAGTTGATTGTTAAAAATTAAATAAGAAGAAATGAAAATAAGATGAATAAATGAACATAAAAATAATAGACATAAAAAAATAAACACGCACACACAAACACACTCAAGCATACAGCCATACACACACGCACGCATGCATCCACATGCACACACGCACACGCACACGCACACGCACACAATATATGTATATACACGCACACGTTTACCTCTCTCGTTCTCAGGACTGTGTATTCCCAACAACAACACGATCTTCATCAAGACGATCAGTGAGAAGCTGGCGGCTAACGAGCCACACCTAACGCTTGAGTTCCTCGAGGAGTGCATACAGGGCTTCCGTAACTCTCACATAGAGCTGAAACACCTGTGCCTTGAGTACATGACTCCCTGGCTGCCAAACCTCACCAGGTAGGTACAGTAATAGCTGAGTTAATATAATCAGCTAAACTAACTGATGATTAATTAAGACAACTCTTACTGAAACACCTGTGCCTTGAGTACATGACTCCCTGGCTGCCAAACCTCACCAGGTAGGTACAGTAATAGCTGAGTTAATATAATCAGCTAACTAACTGATGATTATTTAAGACAACTCTTACTGAAACACCTGTGCCTTGAGTACATAACCCCCTGGCTGCCAAACCTCACCAGGTAGGCAGACTAATAGCTGAGTTAATTAACTAACTAAATAATTGACTAAGAGATGATTAACTAAGACTAAGACAACTCTTGCTGAAACATTTGTAGTTGTCACAACCTCACCAGGTAGCCTGATTAGTAGCTAACTAAATGATTAACTAATTGATGATTAATTAAGACAGCTCTCACTTGAACACCTGTGCCGCGCGCGTCATTGCCGCACGCGTCACAGATTTGTGACGGCAGTCAGACAATGTCAAGCATCTTCCCGTAACGCCCCTGAACCGAACGCTAACCTCACGCCCGTGTTTCTTTGCCGCAGATTCGTGAAGCACTCTGACGAAGCGAAGAAGCAGCGAGTGTCGCTCATCCTCGACAAGCTGATCACCATGACGATCGACGAGGTGGAGATGTATCCGTCGATACAGGCGAAGATCTGGGGCAACATCGGACAGGTCGCCGACCTCATCGACATGGTGCTCGACAGCTTCATCAAGGTCAGTCCAAGGTCGCGCGCGCGGCAAGGTCGCTGATCGTCTTGGCAGGGGTTGTGTCACTACTCCGCACAACAACTTAAAACTAAAGTGTAAACCCATGGTGCCATTAAAATGTCAGGAAAACCCGCGCCGTCGTAAAACGTTTAGAATTTCCGAGCGCTCGCGTCGGCGGGTAAGGCAGCATGAATGAAGATAGGGACGGAATCGGTCACCATGACGACAGTGATTTATTAATAACACCTTCTGGTTTCTTCCTTTCCTAATGTCTGCTTCTATACATTGTGTTAGCCCGTGATTGAGGAATGACGTCTTCGCTTCTCTCTATCTATCTATCCGTCATTGCACGAATGTTCATGTGATCGGTCACGACGCATGCGAGGCCGGAACCTTCGCGAAGTCATCAACTGTCATTCTGGCGTGTCGGCGATAGGCGCGATGTAAGCGAATACAATACTGCTGTAGAGACGTCTCGTCGCGACTCAGCAGAAGTAAGGGTTCAGCGAGACAAATGTCGAGACAGATGTCGAGATCGATAGAGACGGTTCTCGTTCGCACGCCGCACGCTGTTTTTTAGCGTTTTTTTTCTCGTTTTTGTTTGTCACCCACGACGCACTGCACACAGCATAATCTGACGCACCGCTGTTCCATTTATTCCAACCACCAAGGTTTCTCCTTGTTGCCGCTAGATGGAGCTCCATGGACATGACCTCGACCAAGTTTGAGGAGATCATGTCCAAGCACAACATGCACGAGAAAGATGAGTTTAAGTCTTTGAAATCTCTGAACATCTTCTACCAGGCTGGCCAGTCACGGCAGGGCAACCCTGTCTTCTACTACATAGCCCGTCGATACAAGTACGAATCGTTCCTCTCCTGCGCGTGGTCGATGGACGGGTGGGTGGCTGTACAGGGGGGTAAAGTAATCAACTGCCCGCTCGTGGGTTGGGGCAAAGGCGTTAGCTACCATCTTGTTGGTTGTGGGTAGAGTGAGGCAGTTGGCAGTGCTTCTGTGGGTTAAGGCCTGGGCGCGTCTACCTTCTAATGTATTCCAAAAGGTATCTTATTCTGCACACGGGGGGGTTGTTTACGTGGTCACCGATCGCTGTTATATATTACGGTATATTTACTGTATATTAATTATGTTGCATTGGTATGTAATCTCTATATATACATGGTCAATATAATTCTGCTGCATCCCTGGGCAAGGTTGTCGATTGCAGTGTTGCTATGGCTACCTGCGCGTGGAGTGACGTGTTTCCACGGTAACGCCATGCTATTGTATAATATATTATTATGTATTATTAGCTCTTTAATGTCGCCTACAGACACCCATCTGAGCGTGTCTGCACGGTGGGGTGTTGTTTGTGACGTAGTCTGTGTAATGACTGTCATGGTTCGCACAGTCCTGAAAAGTCCTTGAATTGTGAGGGACTCCTTGAAAAGTACTTGAATTTAGTAAATGTTGATTTTGTGCTTGAAAAGTCTTTGAATTTCTTGAAAATGTTGCTTGAATTTTTAGTAAAGAATTCTTGCCTGTAATAAAAAGAAATTTTGTACCATAAATAATGTGCAACTCAATAAAAATGACATTAAATCAGCTGAAAAAGCTATAGACAGCGATAGACAGGTAAATGATTGATCAAATTACAGTAAGTCAGTAAAATCATTCAGTAAATCAAGGTATGTTCTAGAAGTGACAGTGTTAGAAGGGTTATTAATGCGATCCAGGTAAGTTTTAGAGGTGAGCATGCAGTGATTAAGATGTGGTTATTAAATTATTCCAGGTATGTTTTGTTCTGTGTATGAATTCCGATAAAATGTCCGATAAAAATGTCTTGATTTCTGATAAATGTCTTGAAAAATCCTTGAAAATTTGTTCAGTCCTGTATGAACCATGACTTTAGGTAGTTTGTGACGAATTCTGGGCAAAATGTTGTCAATGTCAGTATTTCTGTATCGTCTGCCTGAGCTTCATCTGGTCACCTCTCTTGTTTCGTCTGCTGCCTGCAGGGTTGGTGAGATTCAATTGGTGACCTTCTCATCTCCATGTTGCTGCTCAGCTGAAACCCTTTACAACAAGCCTTTTCGCAACTCGGTCGTTGACTTACACCAATGCGCCGCACAACGATCTCGGGTGGAGACTGAGCGTGGCAGCCCCCGAGCGGCAAGCGGTACGCATAACTTGTACTCATATCATCGGGTTTCTCTCGTAAACAAGGACAGTAAATTAGATGAACTCGCTCTCTACTAGACTCGCGCCACGAGCAAGCGCGCTCGCCGTACAGATAGAACGTTACGCATGCGCGCACGGGGGGGGGCGGAAATGCGGGTGTTTTTTTCTCTGGTGCCTCAACTTGCCCGCGATGCCGGGGGAAAAGACGCTGCCCATTTACCCTAGAAGCTACGACAATAAGACCCGCCTGCACCAGCGCGCGTGCGATCTATAGCGCTGATGGTGCGGGGAAAATTCTGATTAACGCCGTAGACGCTGCCAGTTGTTCCCT